CAGCTGCTAACCAAAAAAGGTCGGCAGCTCAAATCCACCAGACCAGCCGCTTCTTGGAAACTGTATGGGGCAGAGTTCTATTCTGTCCCATAGGGTCGCTATGAGTCAAAACTGACTCAATGGCACCCAACAATAACAAAAAGAAGCCCTGGTGGTATAGTGGTTAAAGCACCTGGCTGCTAACCAAAAGGGCGGTGGTTGGACCCCACCAGCCAGTCCTCGGGAGAAAGATGTGGCAGTCTGCTTCTGTAAAGACTACAGCCTTGGAAACCCTATGGGGCAGTTCCACTCTGTCCTACAGGATCGCAATGAGTCGGAATCGACTTGACAGCAACAGGCTTGGGATTTTTTGGTTATTAAAGTATTATATCACTAATAACACTCAGTGACATTTCACATATCTGCAATTCACCAACCAAGTTCAAATACAGGAATAAAAACCCATTGCCGTCGAGTTAATTCCGACTCATAGTGACCCTACAGGTTAGAGTAGAACTACCCGATAGGGTTTCCAAGGCTGTAAATCTTTACGGAAGTAGACTGCCACATCCTTCTCCCTCGGAACCACTGACCTTTCGGTAAACAGCCAAGTGCTTTAACTACTGCACCACCAGGGCTCCTTTAAGCACAGGAATAGACTTTGTTTATTCAGCATCTAGACTGTTAAGAAGTTTAGAGCACTAAAGCTCACCCACTTAACTCAGGCCCCTGGGTGCTTTTTTTTTTTTTCTCAAACATAATGCTAAATTTAGTTATCTACTTTCTTAGTTCACAACAGATAATAATCAGCAAGTCAGGATGGCAGATAGGAAGAAAAAACCTGCTAGAAACAGGCAGAGCTAAAAGAAGTAACAGTTAACTTGGTATGAAGAGATAGTAGAATGCAAAAGCAGATGAAGAACTCTAAACAGTCTTCTGAGGGCTATTTAGCAAAAAGCTCTATGTACCTCAACAGTCCCCAAGGACAGTAACTGCACAGTGGACATATTCATAAAAACAGACTCAGAGTAAAGCTATCAAAAAAGACTACACTATGCTACATACAGTCTTTTTTACAGAAGGTAGAGAATCATGTAATTCTTTTTTAAAAGCAATGCATCCAACATGTTTTAAATATTGTTTATTATAGTTTAAATTTGAGCACTTAAATTATAAGCTTCAGTTATACAGAAGATTGCACTACACAATCATGAGTAAAGCACAACAGCTTTTAAAGCTTAATTCAAACATCAGTGACATGGAAAATATAATGATCTGAACACCTCGTTCCCTGACTATGCTGGAAAAAATGAGGTGCTACTGTAATTTGAAGTAGTACTGGTGGCATAGTGTTTAAGCGCTCAGCTGCTAACCGAAAGGTCAATGGTTAGAACCCACCAGCCACTCCACAGGAGAAAAACGTGGCAGTCAGCTTCCATAAAGATTCAAGTTTCTCTTGTTAAAGTAATATGTAAGCTTTTCAGTAAACCATGAGGCTTAAAAATGACTGGAAAGGTAACTAATACCTGATTTTCTATTGGTGAAAAAGGCAAGTTAAAAAAGTCTGAAGGACTTTAACAATTTTTCAAAGTGTGAAATAACTGTGCAGGGAAAATATCAGTTGGTCCACAGAGCCAAAGTTAGTCTATGAATATTTTGGAGGCAAATGTAGATTTAGAGTCCTCAAATGACCTACTTCCTATCTTCCACAGTCTGTGAAAGATATCATAAAAGAGTACTTATTTGCTAAGATAAGTACCATACAAAGGTTATCAGTCTACAATACAGAAATGTTCACTGGAAAAAACTGATAAAATAATTACATACATATATACTATCTCATTGAACCAAAATTCAGTTCAGCCCTTTTCCTGACTATCCTACCTAATTGACCTCCAAAGCTCAAAACTGTAAATATTCTTCTTATATAAGGCTTTAAACCTAAAGAATGGTGTACTTAAATAATAAAGCTTTAAACCTAAAAAGAAAATACACATAAGTTGTTTAAGGGGTAAGGGAAAGCATTAGATACAAGTATTAAAAGATACACCAGAATGACTTATGGTGGTAGGGTTTCCGTTTTTTTGTCTGTTTTTGAAAGTTTCCACAACATTAGTAGAGAATCACCAAATGCAAGGCACAATTCAAACTGGGTTTTACAAAGAAATATGTGCATGCCCCACGTAGCTACCATTAAACATATATCTACCATTACCCTGCTTAGATTTGGAAAAATTCAAAACCAAATATGAATAAATTTCACTTGAAGGCAATTATTAAGTTTGGAGCTGTCCCTGAAGATTACCGATGATCTATTTCAACATTATTTTTCAGATGAGAAAACTGGAAAATGGGAAGGTTGTATGGCTTGTTCAAAGACACACAACTAGTTAGTGACGGGGTCAATTTAGAACCCAGATATATTTCCACTCAGCCACCTTCTTCCCAACTTAAATATAAAAATCTCTCTCTTTTGAGATATAAAAAAAAAAAATGAATTTATTAAGAGATATGGTGAGCGAAATAAAGTCCTGTTGCATGCCACAATATGGATGAACCTTGAAAACATGCTGAGTGAAGTCAGTCGCTAAAGGACAAATACTGTATGATCTCACTTGTATGAAATAAGCGAATATATAGAAACTAAAAATTAATAGTGGTTACCAAGGGGGGAGGGTAATAGAGTTTTTGTTTAGTGTGCAGTGAGTTTATGCTAATGGTGGTGGAAATAATTTTGAAAACGACAGTGAGAATGGCTGCAGAACTTAAAGAATGTTTCTATGCCACTAAATTACACATGAAGAAATTGTTGAATTGGTGTATGTTTTGCTATGAATATTTTCACCACAATAGGGAGAGAGAGAGAAGTGAAATACCCAGGGTTGGGAACTCTGAAAAGTAGAGAAAAGTAGCAAAAATGCATAAATATTTGATTTGTCCATTTTGCTGAATCTGAGGCAGGCTGGCTACTTAAAATTTACAAATGGCCTACAGTGACTTTGAAACAGACCTAATTACTAGACATGGATAATAATTTATATACACTATCAATTATTTGGACATCAAGAGCTACTTTAGTAATATAATCCACATAAATAAATACACAAGTTGAAATCTAAGCCAGAAGTTGAAATTTATTTTAGCTACTATATTAAATCTCTGGGTACACTATAACTAAAGCCAACACTTATATTTTCACAGTAGAAAACAATAATTATGCAAATGAAATAGTGAAAATATAGCTAGCCTAGCCAGGTGTCCACACAAATCAGTGCAATGTGACTGAAATTTCTTAAACGTTACTTACAATGCTATAATTTAAATAAGGCTCAGATACAAGTCCCTTTCTTCTCCTGTACCGCCTCTGATGAAGGCACAAATGAACAATAAAATAATCAAAATCGGACAAGACAAAAATAGAGAAGCAAAAGGAACAGCACCCACCACTGAATTTACTCATTCAATAAATATATACCGAGTGTCAGATGCTATAATAGGAAGAATACAAAACAACAACAAAATAACCTGAACAAAAGCGAGAGATCAATGTCCTTGTGAAGCTTAGAGCTGATGGAGCTTTTACAGATATATTATCCTAAGAAGTACTGTATATGTTGAAGCCTGCTTGAAACCATCTTCATTTAAAAAAAAAAAAAAAAGGTAATTTTTAATTTTTCTTAAACACAGGTAAAAAAATCAGACTTGCTTATTTTTCTATTTGTCCTAGTTTTAAAAAAGATTTACTTAAATAAAAAAAAATTTCATACAGCCTCTCTCTCTCAAAAGATTGCATCCTGGACTGCACAAATGATAAAATAAATAGATTCTATGTTATTTTACTTTACAACTCAAAAAGTGCTGTAAGTCAGTGAGGCAGGTCTTGCTGGTACACTGGTGAACGTTCGTAATAGTCCAACTTAAAAAAAAGTCAGTGAAAGTTTCTGAATGTAAGTCCTAGCACAAACATCTACATTCTGCTTAAGATGTCTACAAGAGGGAAAGAAGCAAATACAGCTAGATTGCAAAAAAAAAAAAGGTAAAAGGTTTCATCATCCTCTGATTCTTAGATTATAGCTTGCTAATGATGAGGGGCTTGGTGGAAAAAAGTGATCCGAAAACAACTTAGTGGTTCAGAGAAGCTCCTAAGAAACGGATGCCTAGGATTTCAATATTTTTTTAAATAACCAGAAAAAAAGTTTAAAGAAAACATATTAGCATGTTAAAAATCAATTATCTCTCAACACTAGACTTACAGGTAGTAATTATTCTCCTCTTTATGTTTCTATACTTTCTAGTCTAAGGTAATAGTGCATTTATAACTAGAATATATTTAAAGAAAGGCAAGCATTGAAATAAATCATTGACATAAAGACTAGGTATGCGCTACAGTCTCACTTCTAATAACTGCAGAAACAGCACTAACACTGTAGTTTAAAAGTGGAGTGCCCGCGCGCGCAACCCCCGCCCCCCCGCCAGATAGGTACGTACACACACACACACACACACACACACACACACACACAATGCCTGGCATGCAGTAGGCGCTTAATTAATATTTGCGGAATGAAATGAGTGTTTATATATGTAAATAAGCCAAAACAACAACAAAATGCCCTCCGATTTGGGAACGACACAGTAAACAATCACAATAACGATTACTTTACCAAAAGCTGCCTGATAGTTTAATGATCACTAAGAGAAAAGACTCTTCCTCCTTTAAATCTGACACCCCATTTCACGTTCAAAACGAATCCTCCCTCGGCCCCGCCCCAAGCCCTATCCTCTGCTGCCTCAAGCACTGGAACTGACGGAAAGTCCGGGGCCTCGGCGGTGCCTAGACCCGGAGCGAGCGGCCCCCACAGCTCTTCCCAGGTCGCTCCGGGCCTGCAGACACGCCTGGCACGGCGGGGGCGCCAGCCTCGTCCCTAGGACTCTCGGGTGTTCCCGCGCCCACCCAGCACCCTCAGCCAGCAGCCCTGGCGGCCCCCTCTCCTCGCCTCAGGCGGCGGGCCGTGCCGTACCTGCACACAGTGATCAGGTTCCTCCTCTCTACCGCAGCATTGCGGGCGCTCAAGCTCTTCTTACCGCCGCGGCTCCCGCTCAGGCCCCCCAGGCTCCGGGAGGCCATGGCGGGCTGACCCCCGCGCCCCTTTTGTCTTGTGCGACCCCTCCGCCACCCACTCCTATTTCCTGAGGCTCTAGCTCTGTGCGCGACCGTGGAGCCGCAGGAGGGACGCAGGGAAAGAGCGCGGAAGGAGGGAGGGTGTGAAAGACAGCGGCGGGGGGTCTAGCGCCCGGGAACTGACAGCTCGCGCTCTGCATCCGAGCACCACACACACGCACATACACGCATGCACCACCTCCGCCTTCGCGCGCGTGCGGGTCAGCGTCGGGAGCTCTCCTACTTCCCAAAGGACCTCCGCGGCCGGCGCGCGCGCGTGCCCGCCGGCCCCGCACGCCCAACCACCAACACTTGGCCTCTGCAGAGAGGCTTCGTGCCTCACGCGCGCTCTTCACCTATCGGACTAACGCTGCACTACCTGGAGCCAATCGCGGCGCGCGAGGGGCGGGGCTTGCCGCGCGGGCCTTTAAAGAAACGCGCTCGCGCACCGCCCCGACGCGTGGGCAGCTGTCAAGACGCCGGGCTCGCGCTCGCCGGCCGCGTGCCGCAGACATCGCTCAGAGGACCATCGCTGCTCTCTGCGCAGGCCTTGTGGGATGCAGGGCCCCGGTATGCCCGAACCGATTACGAACGCATACCTGGGACCCAAGCTTTAACGGCTGAGATCTCAAGCTTTAACGACTGCTCATTTTCCTGGAGCCAACACCTAAGTCGTGTGGCGTCTGTAGCTTCAGTGTTGAGAACGCAGCAATGCCGGCTCCCACTCGCGATTGAGGGCCTCACTCTTCCAGTAAAGGGGATTCCTTTTGTCCAAACGCTCTCTTCCGACCTGATAAACAGCAGCACAATAGCCCGAGGAGGGAAATTCCTCGTAGAGTATTTCTCTTGGGGGGCCTGGGGGTGGGAATTCGTGACCCTCGACTCCACGTTGCCCTCATCCCAGCCTCCAGTACAGCCTGCAGCCCGGATTGACAGCCCGCGGAAGAACAAGCGCCGTACGGCCTTCTTCCAGAGCCCTTCTTGGGTTCTGAGCAGCAGCTAAACCTGGGGTGGGGGGGCGGGTGGTGAGTTGAGGGTCGGTATAGTTTAGCCCCTGCCGGGCTGCACCTGAAAGAAGCCGGGAGCTCTGCGCTCTTCAGGCACGTTCAGAGCGTGGCGGTAACTTTCCACAGCTTCTTTATTGCCCCTTCCGCCTTACCCGTGGAGGGTTGGGGTATGTACCCAGGTCTTCTGGCACTCACCCAAGCCTGCCGTTGCCTTTCCTTCGCCTCAATATGCCCATATTTTAGAGTGAAATCCTGAATGACAACTCTACCTGTATCATGGTGGGGCCTAGCATGCTGCTGTGCATAGAATAGGTTCTCAATAAATGTTCACTGAATTTAATTTGAAGTCATATTCTGCATTATTCTACTGAAATTTCAGTTTTGTTGGTTCCAAAATCCATATAATTTCCACCCCTGGTTTTAAAGTTTCTATCAAAGAAGACTTATAGAATATATAATTTAGTATACTTATGTGTTATACAAAGTACTATAGGAGGTACCGTTACTTTGTGTTGAGTGGTTTTAAAACAGTTTTGTGTAATAAAACTGTAGATTAATTATTTCCGAGATTTTTTGAATCTAAAAATATTTAACATAAGGGCACTGATGCATCCTTTTTAGCTAGATCAAATCATAGTAGAATAAAAATCTATTCTCTGTAGGAAAAATAATATGTCTTAACTAACTTACTACACTAAGTACATTAAAATTCCACTATAAGAAAATAATTTGGACAGACTTAAACTTTATCTTTCACATAAATCTAATAAAGGCAAGTCCCCCCCCCCCCATATATGGGCATTTGTGCGAGATCACTGCACTTGGCCTCAAAGATTTCTTATCTGCTCTACGATAACATAGCTGGCATTGTTAGGAAACTTCCCCTCCTAGGAGCTACAACTAAATTTGTCTCTTCTTGCTAGCCCAACAGTATGAATTCAGATGCACTGGCTATGCAGGCACTCTCAGCAAAACATTTGCACTGACAATGACAAATACTACATAAATTAAAGTTGGTGTTGATGTTACTGTTTGACCACAGATTAAAACTGCATTGGAAAAGAGTGGAAAGCCATCAGTTATAAAGAAATGTCCATGCTAGCATGTCCTAGGGGAGAAAAAGAACACACACGCCATGATGGCACAATTTATTAAGAAGACAAAAATGGGTAGTCATGTCAGAGAAGTGAGAAATTATTTTCAAAATTGTCTTTCTAGCCTCAAGTACGTTTTCATGTTACTTAAATTGGTATTTGTAACTGAAGACTTAGTAAAACTCCATCTTAGATAATTAGATAATAATGTTATTTTTTCCAAAGGCTACTTTTAGGGGGATTCCAGTGACATTGGTACTTGCTTAACAAGATTTTACTGTATGACAAGCCATTATGTATGTACATTGTCATTAAATTGCCACATGGAGGCCTTATTTAACAAGGCTTTTTCTCCTTTATGCTGAGCAGTATGTCCTCAGTCTTACTCTTTCTCTCAATTACTAGAGATTACAAATCAATTGTATTCGGTACAGAGTACAATACTACTATAGAACTACATTATTTTCTTCTCTCAATTACTAAACTAGAGATTATGAATCAATTATATTCGGCAGAGAGTACAATACTACTATAGAACTACATTATTGTCTACTCAACTTTTTGGACTTCTTGCGGCACCTATTTCAATTCTTCACTTCATTTATCCAAGAATTTGTACAAAGCTTATTCAGAGATGTAAAAAGATTCATAATAAAAATCATGAAAACAGTAGATGCCTAATTTAATTTAACCAATAGGAATTCTAGAGAACTGAATGGGCAGAGCATATTCATTCTCCATTTTTCCATTCCTCAAACTCCTTTCAAGCAAAGAAGACAAAATTACAGCTATAACGTATAAATGTCCTCAAATCTAAAATGCTAGAAGCCAGTGAGATTACTAAACCATAGTTTATTTTAATCTCAAAGAAGAAGTGGACTTTCTAAGTATGGCACAAACCAGAAACCATAACAGAAAAGAGTGATAAAAACACAAAAATTTTTTAAGTCTAAAAAGTATTACCATAAGCAAAATAAAAACAATGAACTGAGAAAACATACTTCAACCTTGTATCATGAATGAAGAGCTAATTTCCTTTCTATATAAAGAGCTCCTGCCAATCAATAATCACTGTTTCAGTAGAATGATGAAAGTGGAAGCCAAATAGCAGTGAACAAAAGAGTCAGTGGGAAATGAGGATTACTAACTTTTTTAAAAGTTTGGTTGTGAAGGGGGAGAAAAAGATAGGGTAACGGCATAGGGGAATGTTGAGTAAAAGGATGGTGTTTTGTCACTGTCATGTTGTTCCTTTTCATGGAAGTGGCTTGAACACAGTTAAAGTTGATGGAATGATTCCACTGGGAGGAAAAGGTTAGCAGTGCAAGAGAGAGAAGAGATGATCAGTAGTGAAAACGTGGAAAGGGGATGGGATCTAAGGCACAAATGGATGGATTGAGCTTAGGTTGAAGATATCAATCCTTAATGGTAACCAGAGAGAAAGGTTGGAGGATATAAGTAATTTTGAACTTTCAGTAATAGAAAGTTAAGGGAGTTCCCTTCTGATGGCATCCGTTTTTCTGCAAAATAGAAGACAACATCACCTGTTGAAGGTTTCAAATAGTCCTTTTTTATGGTGAGTGGTAGAATAAGAAAGAACTCTGGTGGTGCAGTGGTTAAAGTGCTCAGCTGCTAACCAAAAGGTCCGTGGTTGAACCCACCAGTCACCAGTCACTCCACGGTCGAAAGATGTGGCAGTAGGCTTCTGTAAAGATTTACAGCCTTGGAAACCCTATGGGGCAGTTCTACTCTGTCCTACAGTGTCTCTATGAGTGGGAATCCACTCGAAGACAGTGAGTTTGGATTTTGGTTGTTTGGTAGAATAAGCTGGCCAATGAAATTTAAAGGATCCTGGCCAGTCTGAGCACCCATTTGAGATTGGTGATTACGAGTTTACAAGACACATCCATCTTATTGTGTGACTTTCTCTATCGTAATTGTTAGACTTCTGGTGTGCTGGTAAGAAAGAAGACACTGGTTTCATTCAGGATGGAGATTTTAATATACTTTAAGTTAGATATAGCAGAGAATGAGAAGAAAGGAGCGAAGCAATGGATTGGAGTAGAAAAGAGGGATTAAAGGACCAGATGATCTGTACAGTTCAAAGAATAATTATAAGAGATGTAGTAAAACAAGCATGTTGGAAAGAGAGGAGATTATGGTCAAAGAGTGGCATGCTTAAATGAGTAATTTTGGAATTAGGGCAGTTATGAATTATGGCAAAATCCAAGGCATGACCTGGTAGTGTGTGGCAGAGATGGAGTGGAGGGGAAGGTCTAGTGTTGAAGGGCAGTCAGGAAACTCAGAAGTTGGAATGTTGAATGGTCATCCATGTTACTATGAAGTCATCCATAATGCCAGCAGAATTTAAAGTACACAGTAACAGCCAAAATCTTCAATAAATTAGGAGTAAGTGGAGCATTGTTAGATGACACTGTCAAATTACATAAACCTCAAAGTAGTGAAAGCAAGTTTTGCTTGCTTGCTTGCTTTTTGCAAGAGAGGAGAAATATTGGTCTAGAAGTGGCAGTAGAAACCAGAGAAAACATGACTCCTTTCACCCTGAGATAAGAGGGATAAAAATACAAAAAGCTTCTACTTGATAGTATGGCAAGCAAAGCAGAGCCCTCAGGGGTAGATCCACGTTTCCATTGAGGAAGGGAGGTAGAGGTACCACACAGAAGTAGAAATGGAGGATACATGGTAGTATTGTTTACAGAACAAAATTTCCAGAGGACATCACAGAAAGGGGTGGCAGACAGAGTCAAGGGTAAGGAAGTCAAAGCAAGTCCGTGCCATAGGGTGTGGATGGTGATCCTGGCATTACAGGCAATGCTAGGTGTATGTTGAAAAGTATACCTTGATGGGTCTCATAAATTATTTTTCTTAAAAAAAGGCTTACCTATTTAATCAATTTACTTGTCGATTAAAACAAAGCACATTTGGTTTTAAAGTTTCTTTGAGGAGGGCAGATGCTGGACCTTAGTTCAGAGGACTTTTTTTTTTTCTTTTCTTCTTTATCTTGGAAAGGGGTGTTAGCAAACCAGAAACTAAAGACTCCAGACATCACGTGGATTATA